AGCCTGCTAGAGCGGCCGGGGCGGTGCGCGGGCGGCGCGCGGGGACCGCCGGGAGCGGGGCGGATGCTCACGCCCTTCCTTCCCTCTCTGTCTCCGCGCCGCGGCGCGCAAGGGCTCCGAAGCCGACATGGGCGCCGCCGCGTGGGCATGGCCGCTCTTGCCGCTGCGTGTATCTGTCCTGCTGCTGCTTCTGCCGCTCCCGGGGCTGCCCGCGGGCTCCTGGGATCCGGCCGGTTACCTGCTCTACTGCCCATGCATGGGTAAGGCCTCCCGAGCCCTCTGCTCAAATGAGGAAACTGAGGCCAGAGGCGAAGCCACTTCCCTAAGCCACTCCTCTGAAGCTTCCAGACTCCTTGACAGGTCCAGGAGAGAACCCCATTGTGCGCACTGAGGGGCCTCTGTGTCCAACCTTCCATTTGGCAGCAGATGAGAAAACAGGCCGGGAGAGGTTACATGCCTTGCGCATGTCTAAGCTAGCCCGTAATCCAGTAAATGGAGTTAGTGGGGCAGGACTTGATGCCACTGACCCAACGTGGATTCTGGGCGATTCTTTCATTCATTCGACAAATATTTACAGGGCGCTTATTCTGTGCCCAGCCCTGTGCGCTTCTGTAGGGATACTGCAGTGATAAGACAGAAAACACCATGGCCTTGCAGAGCTACCATTTTAGTTGGGGAAGGCAGTCAATAAAAGATAAACATTAAAAAAGTAAGTAATTACATATTACTTAGGGAAAATAACATAGAGAAAGGTAAGGGAGAATCTAATGGCCGGCTGAGGGGTGCAATTTAAATGGGGCGGTGGACCATCACTGTGAAAGTCGTGCCTTCTTAAAATCTTCCAGACCCCTAAACATGATGATTTGGACCTCTGCCCATCTTCATCACACCCTTTTCCTTTCCCAGATCCTCCAGCTGCACACTTGTCCCCTTTTTGTTCCTTACACATACTCAGGTCTTGCAGCCTGTGCTGTTCCCTCTGCCTGAAACACACTCCTCTTTACTTCTACCAAACCAACTCCTTCCAATCCTCAGGTCATAGTTTAAATGTCACCAGAAAAGACTTCACTGACCTCAACCAAAATAATCTCCTCATTATTCTCCATCACCAATTTTTTTCCTTTGCTTTTTGAAATTGTAAAAATTTGTCACTATATACTTATTTACATGTTTAATGACTCCCTACCTGGGACTGAGAGTACCTTAAGGGCACAGACCTTGTCCTTCTTGCTCACTCCTGTATTCCAGGACCTAGCGGAGAGCCTGGCACATTGTGGCCTCTCAGTAATATTTGTGGGATGGATGAATGGATGCCATGCTAGGGATAACAAGAATCAGGGTCCTTTCCCTGAGGTATTCACAGGCTGAGGAAACAGCCAGTACAAAAGCCAGGAAGTGGGAAAGGGCCTTCTAGGATAAGTGAAGAATCAGTAACTCAAATCCAAGATGGGAAGCAGAGGAGGGGGGCTGAGTAATGGCAGCAGGTAGGTGAAAGGGTTGCAGTGAATGAAGCATTGGAGTTGCCTCTTCTTGCACAGGTGAGTAAAGAAAGAGGTGGAAAGGCACTCCTGGAGGGAACAGCAAAAAAACAAAGGTGTGGGGTTGAGGATGTATAGAGTAGAAGTATAGAGCATGTTTGGAAAACAGAAGGGAACTTGGAATGGCTGAGGCAGAAAGGACAGGGCCTGAAGGGCCTTGACTATTAGGCATCTAGATTTGATCCCACACTACCAGCTCCTCTGACCTTCCCCAACCCTGGCTCTACATCCCTTATGAGCCCTGCATTCTCCATGTCCTTGATGCCTCAGGCCTCATCTCTCACAATATACCATCCAGGGCGCTTCGGGAACCAGGCTGATCACTTCTTGGGCTCCCTGGCATTTGCAAAGCTATTGAACCGCACCTTGGCTGTACCCCCTTGGATTGAGTACCAACATCACAAGCCTCCCTTTACCAATGTGAGTACCTCCTGCTGACTTTGGCCCTTGTCCACCCTTTCCCAATTCTGTTCATCCCCAAGTTCCCTGGGCTTTACCTCCCACTCCTTTGTGCTTGCCCTACCCCCCCACCCAGAACTGTCTCCCCTGGAATAAAAGAACTAATATTTATCCTGCATCTGCTGTCTGCCAGGTAGTGTTCTGAGCACTGCATGAAGATTAGCTCTTTTCTCCATCACTTATCTATGAGGAAACTGATTTAGAGAGATTAGGTAATTTGCCTGAGGTGACAGTTAATGAATAGTAGAGCTGGAGTTCTCATGCATTTTGACTAGAGCCTGTGACCTGAACCTAAAGCCCCATTCATTTCCAGCCCTGGTTGATCCCACTCTTTGTGCATTCCCATTGGTCAAAGATGATGGATGCTATTATCAGTTTTGAAAGATAAACTGAAGCACTGGTTAGTTAAATAATGTGTCCAAGGCCACAAACCCAGACTCCAACACCACCTCTCACCCCATCAGGGGGCTCCCTGGGTGTAGTGATGCTCAGCATCCTCTAATTCCTTGCTTATTCTTTGTGTCTTCCACTGGTCCTGTGTCTGTCTTTGTTTACACTGTATCCCCAAAGACCTGGCAGTAGTAACTAAATTAATATTTAATGAATTGACTTTACAAGTTTTCAACAAACTTTTTAAAAATTATACTTAGTACAAAACATTGTATATAATTTCTATAGTCTTTTCTTTGCATAGGATTTATTTTTTCCCCTTGCATGTCTGTATTTAGAGATTTTTAACAGAGGTAATAGCCAGAGTACCTGAGATCATAGCCTGGTGTGGCCACTTACTAGCTGTGTAGACTGGGCAAGGTACTTGATCTCTTTGTGTCTTGGTTTCCTCATCTTTAAAATAGGCTGGTAGCCCGGCCAGGCGTGGCTCAGCAGTTGAGCATCGACCTATGATCCAGGCGATCAGGGTTTGATTCCTGGTCAGGGCATATGCCCGGGTTGCGGGCTCCATCCCCATTGGGGGCCTGCAGGAGACAGCCGATCAATGACTCTCTCATCATTGATGTTTCTGTCTCTCTCTCCCCCTCTCCTTTCCTCTCTCTGAAATCAATAAAGATATATTTTTTAAAAAATAAAATAGGCTGGTAATAATGATTTCTGTCTCCCACCATGAGTTAGGGATTGTGGCATGCCTTGAACATTGTATGTCTCTCTCTTACAATCAGCTGAGCTCATCAATATAAAGTGCTTAGGACACAAGAAGTCCTCAGTAACCAGGAGTCATTGATGTTCTGATTTTTTTTGCACTCATGTTATAATTTAAACATTGCCCGTTCATCCCCCTTGGCTTGCTGTTTCTCACCTTGCCTTCTCAGCCAGGTCTTTTGGAGTCTTCACTTCTTGCTTTATACAGGTTACTTACCCTGCCCCAGTTAGGCTCCCCTTCCCTACTGGGACTGTTCTCACAGAGGTCACTAGGGATCTCAGAATTGCCAAATCCAGGAGTCATTTCTCAGTCTTTATCTCAACTGAACTTGTGGTGGCACCTGGCCTCGTGAGCCTCTCTCCTTCCTGAACTCCCCTGCTCCCCTGGCTTCCAAGATACAGCCTATTCCTGCTTCAATCTTGACCTCTCAGCATTTTCCTCTTAGCAGTATATTGGGGGCTGCTCTGTCTCTACCCACTGTTTAAATGTCGGTGTTTCTTCTTTTTCTGTTTGCTTATTAACTGTGTGACCTCAGATGAGTTGTCCAGATTCCATCTCCTGGGCTTCTTCATAAGTAAACTGGAGACGGTTGTATTCCTCCTCTTAAAATCAGATGGGCAAGTCCATGAAATGTGATGAGTACAGCACCCTGTGCTAAGTCAGCACTCAATAAATATTAGTTGCCATTATTACTATTATTTGCTATAAATTCCTGTTGACTCTTGTCGCTTTCATGATTATCCACGTATCTCCCAAGTTTATCTGTGGCCCAGACTCTCCTCTGACCATAGGCCTCTGTTTCTAACTCCTAGGCCTTTGAGTCTACTTGGATATTCCATAGCTATCTCAAATTCTCAAAGCCAGAACTTGGCATCTTTCCCCTTAAACCTGTGTCACCTCCTATATTCCCAGCCTTAGTGCATGTCACCTTCATTCACCTGGATACCACAGCAGGAATCTACAAGTCATCCTGAATCCCTCCCTTTGCCCTCTCCTTCTTTTACATTTTCTAGCATTTCCATGCCTCTCCACTTGGACTTGTGAGCGATGCTCAAGAATGAATACTTGAACAAATAAAAGGACCACTGTAGTAGCCTCCTAACTCCCCCCTCTAATCTTACCATCAATACGTTCTGTCCTCTCCCACCAGAGTGATCCTTCAAAAAGGCAAATCCCATATTTTTTTCTGCTTAAAATCCTCCAGCAAGACCTTGTTGCTTAATAGTTAAGGTTCCCAAAATCCGTTCTTTGGGACTCCAGTGACTCATACAAGAAGTGTACAGTGTTTAAATCACTTTGGGAAATTTTATTATCAATTTCCCATCTCCCCAAAATTGGCATATTAAAGGCCCTGAGAAGTCCTGTAGTATAGAAACCAGCTTAACACAGTACTTCACAGGCCTTTTTAACTCTGGAGTCTTTTTATTGCAGAACCCTTTACCCACCTGAACTAGTGGAGCATACTTGGGAACCCTGACCTGTAGGATAAAGTCTAAGTTTTATTCCCTAGCATTCTAAGAAATTATTTTTAAATCTAGAAAAAAACAGATTAATATAATCACCATCTGTGTACCCAACACTAGAAGTGATAATCATTAACAGTTTCTCATCTTTGCTACAGATAAAGCTGTTACAGGATAAAATCTCTCCTGGCTCCTGAGGCTAATCCTGATCCCTCCCTCTACCCCAGAGGCAACCACTGTCAGGGATTTAGTGTCTTTGGTGTGACTTCTTCCAAGTTCTTTCCTGTATTTGCGAGTCCTTGTACCTATCTCCTGGTGCAAAGTGCAAGAACTTCCCTTGGGCAAATGCCTGGAGGTGGTGGAAGGAGCATTTTAAACTCTATTAGATGCTGCAAGATTATATTGCAAAGTGGTTGTTCCAAAATGTACACTTCTACTCCAGCCAAGTGCAAAAATGCCCCTTTCCTCACATCTCTTTCAACAATTAGAGTTAAGGTTTTACATTTTTTGCTAGTCTTATGGGTGAGAAGTAATGCCTTATAAGTGTAATTTGCTTTTTCCTAATTACTAGTGAAGTTGCCCATCTTTTGAGTGTATTTATTGGCTCTCTGGGTTTTCTTTGCTGTGAGTTGTTCACTTCTATCCTTTGCCCATATTTTCTGTTGCATCATTTCTCTTTTTTCTTATAGATCAGTAGGCATTTTGTAACCTAAGGGAAATTACTCTTTGTTCTTTACTTTACAGATATCTTGTCCCAGTCTGTCTCTGTCCTAATTTGTTGTCTTTTGCCAAAAGTTTTTCATTGGCATGTAGTCTGAGCTGTCTTGGTTTTAGAGTGTTTGGCTTTAATAAATATCTGTAAACCAGCTACTAGAATACTGAGGAGAAACCCCTGCCTTTCCTTTTCCCCCTTTTCCTATAGATCCATGTATCCTACCAGAAGTACTTTAAGCTGGAGCCTCTCCAGGCCTACCATCGGGTCATCAGCCTGGAGGACTTCATGGAGAAGCTGGCACCCACCCATTGGCCCCCTAAAAAGAGGGTGGCATACTGCTTTGAAGTGGCGGCCCAGAGAAGCCCTGATAAGAAGACATGCCCGATGAAGGTGGGTCCTATAGATCTGGGGGCCCTTTCTGCCTGATCCACGTTCTCTTGGCCCATGAGACACTGCATGACGGCTCTATGTTGGGAAAGGCACCAGAAGGGCGTAAAATAGAAAGGTAGAGATTTAAGTCTCATTTCTGGCATGTGTTGGTGGTGTCACTTTGGGCAGAGGACTTTGCTTCCTCTGAGCCTTTATTTCTACATACAAAACAAAGATGACAGCCCTTGCTCAGTCTCACTCATAAAGTGTCATGTGAACTGTAAGTTGCCACATCAGAAACAACTAAAGCTCACGTAGCACTTACTACATGCCTTACCATGCTAAGAGCTTTACACATATTAACCCACTTAATCTTCAAACTGCTCCATGAGGAAAATACTGTTAACGTCCCCATTTTATGAAGAGGACACTGAGTGTTACAGAGATTCAATATTTTCCCCAAGGTCACATAGCAAACAAGTAGAGCCATGAGTCAACCCTAGATAATTTGACCCCATTGTCTACTCTCCTAACTTGTATACTTTCCTGCCTTCAGCAGGTTAATGAGAAGCTATTATATTTTATCAGTATGAATTTTTAAACTTGTAGATTCCTGGCACTTTGGGAATAAGACAATCCTCAATATGTCTTTCAGTGCCTAAGCTAAAGTCTGGGGAGGGTGGTTGGAGGAACCGTGAAATGTGAGAAAGGAGATGGCTTATAGTCCTAACACTGCTCTCATTTGCTGTATGAGCTTGGGCAAGTGTCTTACCCTGTCTAGGCCCTAGTTTCCATATTGAAAGTACAGTAGCAGCATTAGATTAGCTGGTCTTGAAAATCTCTTGAAGCTCTAATTCATGGTCCCATATCCACAGTCCACCTCCTCCCGAGACCCACGTCAGTGCTACAGGGTCAGCGGGATGTGGCATGTGAACAGGAAAGACTCCTTCAGACACTGGTGAACGTCTCCTGCTAGAAACCAGACTGAAGGTAGAACTTCCCTCCTCAGGCCCCAGATGGAGAATTACAACGTGACATTCCTACTGTCCGCCCTATGAGGATGTTTCGGCTTGAGTCAAATCACCCAGAGTTTCCCCACCCACAGCTCCTTGGCCCCATCCCCAGTGGGCTTTCCTTCCCCCTCAGTAAGCTTTTGATCAAACACTCTCTTTCTGCAGGAAGGAAACCCCTTTGGCCCATTTTGGGATCAGTTTCATGTGAGTTTCAACAAATCGGAGCTTTTTGCAGGCATTTCCTTCAGCGCCTCCTACAAAGACCAGTGGATCCAGAGGTACTTGGAGGAGGGAGCAGCATTGCTGCGCTTGGGAAGGGGTATGGGGCCCATGGGCATTCAGCACCTTCCTGGCCCTCTCCCCTTCTACCACACCCTGATATATGAGAGCAAAGGTGCAGCTGTTCTGTCTGCTGAACTTGGGATCCTGTGTGATCTGTTCCCATCTCAATGCCTAGACACAGTGGGACGTTGACCTGCCACGAAGTTGAGCAAGAGTTTATCAGCCGATAAAGAATGTCATAAAAAGAGTGTTGTGCAGTCACATGAGTCTCGATTTCCTCCTCTAGGCGTGAGAATCACTCCCCTGTTACCTTCCTCTTAACAAAGTGAAAATTGGAAGCAGCTTCTAGAGAACAACTTTAGGTGCAGACTGAGAAATGATGTCATCCTGATAATAATTGGATGTGCTTTATTAGTTGTGCTCCAGTAGGCCCTATTTAAAAAAATAGGTTAGCAGGGCATAGGCACAGGCTGTAAAGTATTTATAGAGCGTCTGTCATGGATGAGACATAGTACTTAAAGGCCAAAGGTGACATATAAAAAGGAGGAAGACCGAGCCTCAGCTTTCAGCTAGCTACTGTCTTGTTGTAATGATGATAACTAACATAGTGTACTTGCCCTTGATGCTATAGTGTGGCAAGAAAGAGCATGGGCTGAGAAGTCAGACTTGGGTGAGGAGCTATAAGAAACTTACGAGTTTATGCCTGGTCACAGCCTTGGCATTTAGTGGGCTTGGGTAGACTGATGTAGAGAAACAAGCACAGGCTCAGAATAAAACAGGCCTGGATCTCCTGCCCAGCCCTGCCTCTTTCTCAGGTGACCCTGAGCAAACCACTCTAGCTGTCTGGCCTGAGTTTCCTCCTTGGTTTAATAAAAGGAGCATGATGGTATCTGCCTTCTAGTGTATAAAGTGCATGGCACATTGTAGGGGCCAACCGGTGCTATTATTATAATTATTATTCACAAGCTTTTATTTAAGCCTTTGGGAAATTTTACGAAGTGGGTATTATCGTCAATTTCCATTTGACAGGTGAGAAAATTGAGCTCACAGAGGTTAAATAACTTGCCCAAGGTAACACAGCTATTGAGTGGACAGCTGGGGTCTGTATCTAAGTTTTTAATAGATAATAAAAACTAATATTTATTTAGTGCCTCCTATATACCAGACACTGTTTTAAGTCTTCTAAGGTAAAAACTCATTTAATCCTTTCATAAGTCTCTTGGGAAAGGTGTTATTGTCATGTGTGCTTTACAGGTAAGGAAACTGAAGAAGAGAGGAGTGAAGTCACTTGCCCGAGATCATACAGCCTGAAGTGGCAGCCTGGGATTTGAACCCAGGCAGCCTGACTACAGAGCACCCCCATACTTAAGAAAACAGCTGTGCATTTAACAGCTGCCAATTTCTATGTGGGACTTGCCTTCTGAGCTAGTTCATGAGCTACTCAGTCATGGCACATTCTAATCCCCTTCATTGTTGATCCCAGATAGGGCAGTCCCATCTAATCACCTACTTGTTTCTCCCCATTCAGCTCTGAATGATTGGAGCTATTATCAAAAGGCAGACCTGCTCTGAATGTATAGAGATTTACCCCATGTCACAAAACGCTAGGAAAAAAGAAAAAATGATACCAGCTCTAAAAGTAGCTCCAAAAGCAAATTCCAGAAAACCAGAAAAAGCACACAATCCTGGTTGGAAAAGAAGGGACAGTGCTGCATGGATGCATCAGTCATGGAATGTTGCTGAAACATCTTTTTATTGCCCCATAGTCTTATTGAAGTTCACTGGGTTGTAGGAATTGCGTGAGGGCTTAGGAAGCTTTTGCCTTACAGCCAAGTTTTTAGGTAAAGAAGACTAATAGGGAAGATGAGTTTCTTGGAGGCAATTTGAGAGATAACGCCACCTGGGCAGCCGCCTTCCTTTATGCCTTCCTCCCACTTATATTTAAGAAGCACCTCCTGACTGTCAAGCACTGGTATGGATACTGGGCATATAGGCAAGAATAAGGCAGTTAAGGCCCTTGCCCTGATGGAGGTGAGTCTAATGGGGGGAGGCAGTGAATACTTTCACATAAGATTGTTTTACATAAGATCAAAAGACATGGTCCTATGAAGGACACAAACAAGTGATGTGTGGCTGGCAGGGCTGAGACCTTGTCTTCGTCAGCTCAGGCTGCTCTAACAAAATACTACAAACTGGGGAGCTTAAACAACAGACGTTTATTTCTCACAGTTGTGGAAGCTGGTAGGTCTGAGATCAGGGTGCCAGCATGGTTGGGTTGGTGAGGACTTCTTGGTTTACAGGCGCTGCCTACTTGCTGTATCCAAACATGTTGGAGAGAGAGCAAGCTCTCTGACTCTTATAAGGGCACAGATCCCATCATGAGGACTCCACCCTCATGACCTCATCTAAACATAACCACCTCCCAAAGGCCCCACCTTCTAATATTAACACACTGGAGACTGGGACATCAATGTAGGAATTCAAGGGAGGACGCAATCATTTAATCTATAACAAATCTGAAGGATCAGGAGCCAGCCATGCAGAGAGATGAATGGAAAGGGTAGTTCTTTATGGTAGGGACAGGGACAGCAGAGGCTCTGAGGCAGGAGCAAGCTTGGTGTGGTCAAGGGGCAGGAAGAAGGCCAGTGTGGCTGGTGTGGAGCGCGTGAGGAGGAAAATGGTAGGATGTCCCTGTTATCTGTTGCTGCATAATAAACTCCAAAACTCAGGGCTCAACAACAGTTTATTACTTCTCAGAGTTCTGTGGGTTGACTAGGCTTGGCCAGGCAGTTCTTTTGTGTTTTATTTTTCCATTTTCTTTATGGAATCCCAACTGCACAGAGTTTCAATGCATATTAAACATCTAATTTCTTGGAATGAATACCCTTTAGAATGCCCATCACAGACTTGGTGGTGGATTTTGTTTTTGTTTTTTAATAAAGAAGAAAATGAAATTTACTCATAATCCCACTACCCCTCCAGAAAACACTACTAGCATTTTGATGTATATACTTCCACCCTCCAAACAGTTTTATACACATATATGCACCTACACATACTAAGCTTAAATTATTATATATAGTTTGTCATCAAGTATTTAATTATCTTTTCTGAGGAGTAATTAATATCAATATTTACCAGGATAGTAAATATTACTGGCAAGATCAGTTCTAAACATATAAAAACATGAGATTTCAAAGAATTGTACTGGTATGCATATATGCCAATGGAATGTATGCATTTATTTATTTATTAAAAACTTTTAAGTGTACAATTCAGTGGCATCAAGTATATTCAAAGTGCTGTACAACAATCACCACTATCCCCTCCAGAACTTTTTCATTGTAAAAAACTCTGAACCCATTAAACGATAACTCGCCATTTTCCCCCAGCCCCTGGTAGCCTCTATTCTAGTTTTCTGTCTCTATGAATTTGCCTATTCTGGATATCTCATGTAAGTGGAATATAATATTTATCCTTTTATGTCTGGCTTATTTCAGTTAGCATGTTTTCAGAGTTCATCCATGTTGTAGCATATGTCAGAATTTTAGTCCTTTTGAAACTGAACAGTAGTCCATTATATGTGTAGACCACATTTTGTTCATTCATCTATTGATGGACGCTTGGGTTAGTTGGGCTCATGTGGCTGCAGTCAGCTATCAGTTGGAGCTAGCATCATCTGAAAACTCCACTGGGCTGCATGTCCAAGAGGGCTGTCGTGGTTGTTGTCTGGGAGCTCAGCTGGGGCAGTCAGCTGGCTTGTTTACACTTGACCTCTCCATGTGGCTTGGACTTTGACAGCATGGCAGCCAGGTTCTGAGAGGGTGCATCCAAGGAGTGAGTATTCCAAGAGACAAAAGGTGGAACTCCCTGGCTGGAGTGGCTTGGTTGGGTGTCTTCCCATGCATCGAGAGGTCGCCAGTTCATTTTCCTGTCGGCGTTGTGGGCTCAGTCCCCAGTGGGGGCTGCTCATCAATTTTTCTCTCCCTTTCCCTTTCTCTCTGTAAAATCAATAGAAACATTAAAAAAAAAAAGTACTGAGGTATGCAGCCCTGGCTGGATGGTAGCTCCATTGTGTCATCAGAAATCAGGCTGCCCTCCTTCTGCCCAGCTGTCCCACTACTGGCTTTTATCCTTAGTGTCACCCTTGGGCTAAGATGACTGACAAAGCTTCAGCCATCACATCCTTGCCCCAGTTAGCTGGAAGGACAAAAGGAACAGAAGAAGGGCACATCTTCACCTTCTTAAGTAGCCTTCCTTACAGCTTGCTTATAACTCATTGGCCAGTACTTAGGCACATGGCCATACCAAGCTACAGGAAGTACTGACAAATGTTTTTATTTTGGGCTGCCGTGTGTCCAGCTGAAAGTGGAGTTCTGGGAGAAGAGGGTAAGAGGTATTTCTTCCCCACTAAGTGGTTTCTGAGGATCCTCCCAGCTCTGCTGGTTCAGGTTCTGTGAATATCCGGGTAGAGATTTAATTCCACAGACACTTTTCACGTTTGCTGTTGTTGGAAGACTATGTTCCATCATGCTGGATCATTCTTGTGGCATGAAGATAACAGGCATTTGAGCACGTAGCTTATCATCCTCCCCGGCTGCAGCCTCCCTGAGAGAACATGAGCAGGTGATGTGTAATTGGCAGGGCCAAGACCTAAAAAATGAGAAGAGCCAGCCATTCGAATGGCTGGAAGAAGAGATTGTTCTTCATAGCAGGGACAATGAGAGCAAGGCTCTGCCTTGTTCATTTTCCTGCATCCTCTGCACTCAGTATGGTGAACATCCACTGGTGTACACACACTTGTGTGGATGCTGTGCATAGAGAGACCCCAGCTTGTTGAGGATCTCAGTAGAGCAGGCGTGGTGGTGAAGAACCCCGGAGGTTCACTGCACCCAGCAGCAAGCGGACCTCCTTTAGTGACCACACTAAAGGCCTGACCTAGGGTGACCATGCCAAGGGCCTGACCTAGGGTGAACAGTCGAGGTAGATGGAGCTGGTCAAACTTTCTTTCCAAATAATACTCCTCCCTCACTGGGAGCAAATGAGCACATCATTCTTGCCTCTTGCTGCTTGTCAGGTCAGAGGTGATGTCCCACTGGAACAAGTGGGAGCTGTTGAGGGGATGGACATTTCAAATCTGGAATTCAAGGGTCAGCAGCAGGGTCTTTCTAAGAGGGCAGGGAGGGTGTAGATCCTGATTTTATCCTAATGTTCCAGCCCTCTGGGGGATCGCAAACTCTTGCTTTTCTTTTGAAATCCTTTGAGGTGGCAACTGAAAGGAGCTTAGCTGAGGGCCTCGCTAGAGTAGGTGCTCAGTTATTACTTCTTCCCCTAACCCCTGACAACTTGATCTGGTATTTCTGGTGAGATGCCTGAATCCTCTTTCATTAATTCATTCTAAAAATATTTATTGTACCTACTGTATATTGAGGCCTGTGCTAGGGGCTGGGAATGAAAAGAATACGCCACAGACTTAGCTTTTGAGGTACTTGTTGACTGGGTGGGAGAGATGGCAGTGAGTTGTAGTAGTTAAGAATACAGATTCTGGCCTGGCCGGGCGTGGCTCAGTGGTTGAGTGTCAACCTAGGATCCAGGTGATTGGGGTTCGATTCCCGGTCAGGGCACATGCCCAGGTTGCGGGCTAGGCAGCCGATCAATGACTCCCTCATCATTGATATTTCTATCTCTCTCTCCCTCTCTCTCTCTGAAATCAATAAAGATATATTTAAAATATATACATACATATATACATATATATATATAGGTTCCGGAGCAGACTGCCTGAATTTAAATTCCAGCTCCACCTATTCCAGCTGTGTGACCATGGGCATGTTAGTTAACCTTTCTGTGCCTCAATTTCCTCATCTGTAAAATAAGAATAACAATACTACTTACCTCACAGGGCTCTTATGAGAATCAAATGAGTTAATACACACAAAGCAATTGGAACATTGTCACATAATAAGGCTTAATAAAGGATTCACATGTATGTATGGTCCCCAGTTACTTAGGATTTTTTGACTTTATAGTGGTGTGAAAGTGATATGCCTAATAAATTACATGAGCTATTCAACACTTGTCTGACAAGATGAGCGTTCTGTAGAGCCAGGCTGCAGATGAACACTTGTGTGTTACTTTCTCGGCACTAGCCCTGGACCAGGTGTATGGGAATCATGGTGAGTAAGACTGCTGGGGCCCTACCTTCGTGGGCTGACAGTAGAGCAGGTAAAACTGTTGAGCAAATCAGTGTGCAGAAGGCAGCAAAGGAGAAGACAGAACAGGGATCCCTCCTGAGGAGCTGGAGCTTAGGAGTGGTGAAAAGTCTTGGAGGTCTCGGAAGTTTGGAAGGTGTTTGTGGAGCGAAGTGTTCAGGTTGGGTGTGAAGAAAGTGACGTGTTCATTGTAGCACTGTCGTATGAGTGACAGATTGGAGCAACCTCACTGTCCAGCAGGAGGGGACTAGTTGGGTACATCGTGGTTTATTCCTGCAAAATAGGAAACTTCAAGAGGCGCAACCAGCATCACATGATTCACATGATCAATATGGCCAAATCTCTAAAACATAAAGTTGAAGTTTGAAAAAGTTGAAATAGGTTACCTGCAATCTGGTGGTAATGATGATGATAGAATTTTCTTGGAGCTTTCTATGAACCAAGCATTGTTCTAAATGCTTTGCTTGTGTTAATCCATTTAATCTTCTCAACAGCCCTGTGAGGTAGGCACTATTATCAGCTCTGTTATACAGATGAGGAAACTGAGGCATAGAATGGTTAAGTCACCTACCCAAGTTAATAAGTGGCATGGTCAGCATTCTAGAACAAGGCCATCAGGCTCGACAGCCATACTTTTATCATTATACTGTGTAAAAAGCATACAATATAATACCTTTTTATATCAATAGGAAAAGTGTAATCATGCATAAAACCACAGTATCCTTTGGGAAGAGTAAGAAGGGTAAGAGATGATAAAATAGAGCTTTTATTTAGGTGTATGTATATATTTTTTTAAATTCATTTTTCATTTTATTTTTGTTTAAAATATTACAGATGTCCCTTTTTCTCCCCTGTATGTATATTTTTAATATGAAACAAAGTATTGATATCTGCTAATTTGGGTTATTTTTTGTATTTTCCTATATTTTTAAAAATATTTTATAATTTTTAACTGAAATTTTCATTGAGGTAATTGTAGATTCATATATAGTTATAAGAAACAACATAGAGGGACCCCATATACCCTTTGCCCAGTTTCCTCCAATGGTAACAGTTTGCAGAACTATAGTACAGTATTACAACCAGGATGTTGACATTGATATAATCCACCCATTTTATTCAGATTTCCCCAGTTTTACTTGTACTCGTGTGTGTGTGTGTGTGTGTGTGTGTGTGTATTTAGCTCTATTCAATTTTTCCATGTGTGTAGGTTCACGTATCTACCACCACAATCAAGATATCAAACAGTTCTAGCATTATAAGATCATTGTGTGGCCAGTTTATAACAATACGTACCTCCCTAAACACACACAAACACACACACCCTAGCCCCTGGCAACCACTAATCTGGTTTTTATTTCTGTTCTCTTCTCCATTTTGTCATTTCAAAAATGTTATGTAAATGGAGTCATACAATATGCAGTCTTTTGGGATTGGCTTTTTTGTTGTTGTTAATCCTCACATGAGGATATTTTTTCCATTGTTTTTTTTCAGGGAGAGTAGAAGGGAAAGTGGGCAGAGAGAGAGAGAAATCTGTAAGAGAGACACATTGACTGGTTGCCTCCCAAACTCGCCGTGACCGGGGACGGGGAGTGAACCCAAAACAAAGGTACCTGCCCTTGACCAGGATTCAAATCTGTGACCCTTCAGTGTGCAGGCCAACACTCTAACCACCAAGCCACACCAGCCAGGGCTGGGATTGGCGTTTTTACTCAGCATAATTCCCTTGAGATTCATCCAAGTTGTTATCTGAATCAGTAGTTTGTTCTTTTTTATTGCTATCGTATTCCATTGGTTGTATGCACCAGTGTGTTTAAGCATTCCCTTGCTGAACGATATCTGAGTTGTTTCCAGTTTCTGGCTTTTATAAATAAAGCTGCTATGAACATTCATCTGGTTGTTCACGTGTGAGCATAGGTTTTCTTTTCTGGGTCGTATGGTAGTTGCATGTCTAACCATTTTCCAGAGTGCTATACCTAATTCATAATTTTAAGAACAGGATTTGGGCTGGCAAAGGAAGGCATCACAGGTAGGGGGAAGAAGCCTGCAGAGATCTGGCATTTGGAAGTTTATGGGACAGCATGGTGTTTCATGTTGCTGGGATAGCTCAAGAGGGAACACAGGTTTGCTCCTTATGCATTCAGTCAGCAACTCTCTACTGAGCTCTCATGTGTTCCAGACATTGTTCTGAACACATGGAGGCATTGCCTTTAGAAGCGTGAGTCCAGGAAAGACAAGGTGAAATAATTACAAGGTACATAGCATACAGGGGGGAGAGCAGCCTTTGAGGGAGATGTGATGGTGGGCACCTGTAGAACTCTGATGCTTTCCATGAGGACAAGGACCATGCTTGTCCGGTTCTCCTCTGGGCTCCAGCACATAGTAGGCAATCAGTAAATATGTGTGAAGTGTTGAGGGAATGAGCTTATCCAGTGTACACATTCCCTGTGAGTGTGGCCTGTCCGTTGCCCTCTGGAAGCAGTTGCACGTCCCAACCCCGCCATGTGGGTAAAAGGGCAAGGCTCTGTCCAGACACCACACCCTGGAGTGAATTACCAACCACAGATTGGGAGCCAGCGTGGTATACAAAAGGTTGGAATGCTGTCCTAGAAATTTTTAATTGTTAAACAAGCAAAGAAGGTTGTAAATTCCAGGCGGCGGGACGGTATTGCATTTTGTGCCTGTTGCCGCCGCTGCGGTTTCTTATCAGCCCATTGGGGTTTCACAACCTCTCAGGCTTCTTGCATGTTACAGGGGCCCCTCCACAGTCTCTAGGACATGGTGCAACGCCATCCTTTTTCCCCTGGGGGTGGTAGCCAGCCTCTCTGTGCATTCTGTATCTGGCTTCCTCTCGTTTCTTCTTATGTCTAGATTTTCTCCAGAGGAACATCCAGTGCTGGCCTTGCCAGGGGCCCCAGCCCAGTTCCCCGTCCTGGAGGAGCATAGGCCACTGCAGAAGTACATGGTATGGTCAGATGAGATGGTGAGGACAGGAGAGGCCCATATCCGCACCCACCTCACCCGGCCCTACGTCGGCGTTCACCTGCGCATTGGCTCCGACTGGGTAACTTTCTCCTTCTTCCAGCTGGATTGGACATGTCCCTGAGCAAGGCCCATGCCTGTGGGAGTTGAACACTGAACCCATCTCACCAAGTCCCAGCCAGGCCAGAGAGTTCTCACCTAGCCAAGTCCATGGAGTCCCCACATGCAAGTCCCCACTGTATCTCATGATCCCGCCATAGACACGTCAGACATGTGGCTCCAGAGTGCTTCCTTGCCAGCTCTTGTTTTAACAGTTGCCGCTTTTATCCTCATTTTGCAGATGGATAAACTGAGGTATCAAGCTAGACTCCGGGTCAGGCAGCAAGCCAGAGAGCTCAGACCCACAGCCCAGGAGTTCTCTGTCCCAGCTCAGTGTTTAGTCAATAGACTCCTTGTTAAAAAACAAGTTCTAGAGATTGAGTGGGGCTCCCAAAAAATGAAGGTGTCATCCTCTAAATTTGGAGACTGCTTAAATGTGCAGAAGCCTCATCAGATATAGACAGTCTCTTTAATTTATGTAAGAAGATAAATTTATGTATATATGTTAGAAATACTCATTGTTGAAGACTTGAAAAATATAGAAATTGGATCAAAATTCATTCAGAGTCAACTGAGAAAATAATTACACGTTTACCCACTAGACTCCCTTCCTGCCCCGTTCCCGGAAGAAAACAAGCCAGGCCCAGAATATGTTATGAGTGGTTTTAGCCAAACCTTCAAGGAACAGGTAGTTCTCATCTGTGTTTCTTAGAACATAAAAAGATATAAGATGCTATATTTTATAAAGCTAGCATAGCACTAATACCAAACTCAGATAATGTCAACTTAGAAAAGTACATAGCCCATTCTCACTTATAAACATAGAAGCACAGATCCTAAGTAAGATATCAGCAAGTAAAATCCATATTGAAGAACATACAACACAAGTAAAATTTATCCCAGGAATGCAATGAAATTATATATTAACTATATAACTATATTAACACCCAAAGAAGAAAAATCATATAATCATCTCAATGGAGGCCAAGAAAGCATTTGAGAAAAGTCAACACTCATTTTATGATTTTAGAAAAACTTAACCAAGCAGGAATGGATGGGACCCACCTTAACTTGATAAAAGCTATCTCTCTCAAACCCACAGCAAACACTGCTTCATGGGAGCTATCAGAAGAGTTCCCACTGAAGTCAGAAATCAGATAAGGCTGCCCGTTATCACTACTGTGGTTCAGAATTCTGCTGGAAGTCCCAGATAATGCAGTAAAACCAGTACAAAAACACAACCAACTTTGTAAAAAGCCAATATCCCCCTACCCAGAAATAACTACTGTTACTGCTTTGATGCATTTCCCTCTTCCCTCAATACTTTTTAAAAAAACGTAGTTTGAGCTCCTGCCATGTAGCCTGCCTTTTTCTACTTACTGGCTCTGGCTTCTGGGGTTCTAGGCTGGTTGCTGTCTTTAACTCTGTCCCCCCACCCCGTAGAAGAATGCCTGTGCCATGCTGAAGGATGGGACTGCAGGCTCCCATTTCATGGCCTCTCCGCAATGTGTGGGCTACAGCCGCAGCACGGCGGCCCCTCTCACCATGACTATGTGCCTCCCAGACCTGAAGGAAATCAAGCGGGCCGTGGAGCTCTGGGTGACGGCTCTCAACGCCCAGTCTGTCTACATTGCCACGGATTCTGAGAGTCATGTGCCCGAGATCCAGCAGCTCTTCAAAGGGAAGGTATGCTATGCATGGGCCCTGTGGGATTGCAGCAGGAAGGGAATCTGGGAAAGTGCTAGGGTGTTTCCATCACTCCCTCTACATGCATCATGTCCTCCTGCCACAAGACTTTTGCTTGGCCCTCCAGTTCCCCTCCAGTACCTACCCTTTTTTCAAACCTCAGCTCACACACCTCCACAGATTCTCTCCAGTTTTCCCTCCACTCCTACAGCTAATGTGTCCGGACTGGGAGCTGTCCCAGAACTTTATCAATTCTTCTCTGAAATACTTTCTAGACTAGTGTGGAAACATGCCTTATTTTTTCCCAGGAATTGTGGCTCCCTGAGGGCAGGATCCAAAACTGACTCACTGTCCTATCCCTCAGTGTCTAGCCAGGTGCTTTGACTTCCTCTAGGGCTGAGAGTAGTACCTATCTCATAAGATGATTGTGAAGATCAGATATAAAGACATTAAAGCTCTCCGGTACGAAATTAGTGCTCAGTAAAGTTAGCTGTTATTGCTAGTAGAAGTTGGTGGTTGATGAATAAAGGGAAGGGTCTTTTGTATTTAATTAATGCTTAAGAAGCCATGAATAGTAGGTATTCAGTATATGAGTAAGCAGTAGAATGTTCTCGGTACCATATGCTTGAAGAGCATTTATCAGTAAAATGACTGAATTAACAGTAAGCATTCAATAAGACTGTTGAATGAATGAAAGTCCTAAATGTTTGTACAGACCTTACAAGGCAGTGAGTGCCCTCAGCTTTACATTGAGGAGCTCCTTTCTTTTATCCCAGACACAGGCTTGTAACAAAAGTGCTGAGTCAGTGCACTCTGATCCCCCACCCACCCACTTTATAGAAGAATTTCAGAGCTAGGAGACCTTGGAGCACCTCTAGCCCAACCCTTGTGTTTTATCGCTGAGGAAACCAGTCCCAAGAAGGGATAGAATTTACCCAAGAGGTAGCAGAACTTATTATAGTGGGTGTGACACAGAGCTGGTAAGTTTCAGGGTGTGGGTGGAATTGTTCAGGGGTTTTTGGCCATGATTAAACTCATATTATTTCTTTGCTACCATCCAAATAACAAGATGATGATTTTTGTTACATCAGAAATCTCTGTGTGACAGCAAAGCACTTTCCGCCCCAGCTCTGCCCACACCGCCACCTCAGTATTAAGTTGAAGCATGTGGAGAGCCCCAGGGAGTTTTTTGTGAGTTTTTAGAGTTGACGTACTTGTTACGCCCTGAGTCTTTGCCGTTTTCTATTTCCTGTTTCTGCACCATTGTTCTTGCCCTTCCCTGTTCCTCAGCCGCCTCCTTCTCCACGGGCTCAGAGCCCCGTTCCTCCTGAACTAAGTCTTGCTTCTCTGTTAAGCCTGGCCAGTGCTGAGCTGGGACACTGATAAATAGGTGGTGCTGCCCGCCAGAGCTCACAGTCTAGACTCAAGAAAAGAAACTTTGCAGACAACTATAATATGTGCCCTCGGGTAGGGGTGGAGGGGCTCATTCATTCACTTGCCCAGGCAATAGATGTTTCTTGAGGAAGGCCCCAGCCAGTGGTGATAAGCAAACTGACACGGCCCAGCCTCCATCAGGTGCAGGAGACTGACATTAATCAGAGAATCACTAAGGAGTAAAAACTACAAACAGCCATGTGCTCCGAAGTAAAGGAACATAGTTCCATCAGAGTGCAGAACAGCGAACCCTGGCCTAGACTGGGGGCCAGAGATGACTTCCCCAGGGAGGTGAGACTTGAGCTGAGAGTGAAAGTTAAGTAGGAGTTAACCAGGCAAAGAGAAGCGCCCCAAGTGGGGGGAAGCGCACATGCAAACGTCCTGAGGAAGGTGGTGCCTGGTGCGTAGTGGAGGAGGTATGAGAGGAGGTGGATGAGTGGCCTGAGCAGGGCTTTATAGGCCACAGTCAAGATTTGTCATCTTTATCTGAAGAGCAATAGGGCACCATTTAAGAGTGTTCAGTTTGGGGTGGAGAAGAGGGGTTAGAGGTATCTAAAAAGGTTTTCTCTGGCTGCTCTGTGGTGAACAGGTCAGGAGGAGAGGCAGTGAGACCAGTGAAGAGGTAAGAAAGGATGGTGGCTGGCCAGGAAGTGATAATCCGTCAAGAGAAGGGTTCACCTTTGGGGAATAGATTGTTAGGACTTTAGGCTTGGAGGCCTTGGGCAGCAGAACTGGATGGGTGGAGCGCTCTTTAGTCAGGTCCCAGTTTGGTGGGGGAAGCCAAGCCTGTCAGGCTAAGGCTTCATGAGAAAGGTTGAACTTGAGCCGAAACTTGAGAGTATGGTGGGGATTTTAATGGGTAGGGAAAAGATATTCCAGGCAGAGGAAACTAGCAAGCAGAGGTGAGTGTGAATGAGTGGGGTGTTTGGAGCTGAGGTTGGCAGTGGGAAAGGAGCACTGGGGCTGGTGTTCCATGTGCGGGGGTGCCAAGGCAGTGGCTTTGGGCCCCCCCCCCGCACACTTCTCTCAGTGCCGACCCTACCTCTTAATCCTCTCTGCACCTCCTTTTGTGTCTGTAACTTCATCACAGGGGAAGAAAACTGGGAAATGGCCGCAGGCCTTGGCTGAGCTGGCCACCTTGGCCTGCACCCTGACTGAAATGCCCTGCACCTTCCTCCTGCAGGTGAAAGTGGTGAGCCTGAAGCCTGAGGTGGCCCAGATCGACCTGTACATCCTTGGCCAAGCCGACCACTTTATTGGCAACTGTGTCTCCTCCTTCACCGCATTCGTGAAACGGGAACGAGACCTCCAGGGGAGGCCGTCCTCTTTCTTTGGCATGGACAGGCCCCCACAGCTACGGGATGAGTTCTGACCCTGGCTTGAGCACATCATCAGCCCAGCTGGCCCCTCCAGCTGGGCCTGGCAGCCAGAGCTGCTCCCAGGATTGATCCCCAAAGGATCAGGCTTCTCTTTTCAGCTGCCAAGGACAGAGAAAAGTACCAGGGACTTCCTGGAGGAGGAAGACGGTCCATTTCCCAGGGCACAGGACTTCCAAGCTCCTGGGAACCATACTATCTCCCCTGCTCATGTGCCTCTGGCTCTTTCTTTTGGGAGTTTCTCATACCATCAAAGCAGTCCAACCACTGTCTTTTGATCTGCCCTGCTCTGAGCAGCCTGGGATGCTGAACTCTCTTTGGAGAAATTTTATATATATCTATGGAGAGAGAGAGATTTTTATAGTTTTGATACAAGATCATGACCCTAGGACTCTCCCTCATTTAAAAAAAATCAGTGAAGTTCATTAATGTAGGTACCTAAAGTGACCTTAACTGAATGTAGGTGAGGCCAGGGATGGGGTGGAGGTATTCACCACTTTTCCATATGACCCCCAGAGTGGCCCTCAGACTCATACCCACTGCCTGGCCAGAGCCACTGTCGACCCTACTTCTTCGCCCCTTTCCAGGGTTTGGGGCATGAATACTGTCTTCCATTGTAAATACTATGCAAATAGAAGTTCTCGGTCATGGTACCATACAGAGCTCCACAGCACAGTCACTGCAAGGAGTACATGCCATCCTGCCAGGCCGTCATGGCCTTCATCTCAATTAGAGTCTCTTGGTAGTTGGTGGCCTGCCACAAACCTGGCACCATCAGAGTCTTATAGCACATCACCAGGCTTACTGGCCTGCTGGGATCCTTCTGAAGGCTGCCATCTCCTCTTCTGATCTCTTGCCTCAGGGGCCTGGTTGTAGAATTTTGCTGTTAAGTTGGTATCCAAGGCCTGTCCTCCAGCCTTTCTCCTGCAGCTGGAGCCCTCAGACCACATTCTCACAAGGGAGTGTTGCTAAGCCTCTGACCAGACAGGAGATGCCCCAAACCCAGGAGTCATTGGAGTCCCAGTTTGGAAGCAACTTTTGCCCCTTCCTATCCAATGTCATCTCTGACCCCATGAGGCTTAAAGTGTTACAGTTGTTTCTTTGTCTCTCAGATGCTGTGGTTGTAATAATCCATGACTCCTGAGAGTCTGATTTTTTGGCCTTGTGGTTCTAAAATTAAAGTCTAATACCTGAAGATCTCTCACCATCCTGTGACTTCTCTTGGTCTTCGATCCCAGGAAGGTGGAAGAGACTTTCATGAGAGCCAGGCCCAGAGCTTCAGTGAGGGGCTTCTTTCTCAGGTAACCTTTGGAAGGGATACTTTTTTTTTTGTCAGGTCAGACTGGTCAGGTTGCTGGGCAACAAGGGTGTCAAACACCAGAGGTGACATTTATTGATTAGAGCTGCTGCCCAACTCTAAGGAGGAAAGACTGTACAGAAAGGGCTTTTGTATTTTCTCTCTTGGGAAAACAGTGAAATGTTTTACATCCTAGGTGGATTCTGAGAGACAGTTTATCTATTCAGGCTTGTTCACCAGCCTTATTCAGAAACACGGAGCCCGTGTGTGTACTCGGCTGGTTGGGGCGGCGTAGCTCACTGGCTGATTTCAGTTGCTGGATTAATTTGCCTATTAGAGCCTCACACTAGGCACATGCCTTAGTCTGGGCTCTGAAGGGCCATTCAAATCATATTGATTAGCATCAGCTGTAATAATAGCTTGTGTACCTGGGGGAGAGGGCACCAGAGTTGTAGTCGGTTGTGTGTTCTGTAGGCGAGCAATTTATTCCTCTTTGACCCAGCTTTCTCACCTATAAAGGGTGATAAACCGACTGGGTTATTGAAGGGCTCGAATCAGATAAAGCTTGTTCAAGAGCACATTGTAAACTGGAAAGAGACAAAGGCACATCTGTGGCTGTTGATTAATTTGACTGCCTCTTGCGCACACCTACTCTGTGCCAGGCACTGTGCTGGTTAAGTGATTTATGGGCCGTCTCCGATTTAGTCCCCACCCCAGCCCCGGGAAGTAGGAACTGTCATCACCCTCTTTCTGCATAAGGAGAAACTAATACTTAGAAAATTCTCATAATTTTCCCAAGGCCGCACAGTGGGTGACAGCAAGCCAGGATTCCACCTCCCAAAGCCAGCACTGGTAGCCACCGTGCTCTGCTGCCCCCAGTTCACAGGATGCACTTCACTCCCATTGGGCTCCTGCTGTGGGTTGGCCCCTGCCAGGGGGTTTCAGGGAGGGGAGATCACCTGAGAAACAGAAAGTCACAGGAAGCTTATAGTTCTCTTGGGTGGCTATTCAACGTCCTTTTAGTGACAGGTATTTATTGATTAGCTACTATGTGCCTGGCTCTGTGCTAGGTACTAGGGACTCAAGAGTGAATCAGGCATAAAGTCTTTGTTTTCAAGGAATTTGCATTCTAGTAAGCAGAAGACAATAAAGAAGTGTATCATAGGCATTAAGTGCTGTAAAGGAAAATAAAGAGCATGAGGGGTGAAGGGGGGAGCAGTGCTGTTTCAGGTAAGGCCTCTTGAGGGAGGGGCACTCACTCCGATATCTGGAGGTAGTACATTCCCAGCAGAAAACAAGAAACAGCAAGTGCAAAAGCTCCAAAGCTGGAGTGAGTGAGTGAGTGAGTGAGTGAGTGAGTGAGTGAGTGAGTGAGGAACAGCAGAAGGCCTATGTGGCCTCAGTGGCAGAAGGGAGGCACGGAACAGAGCAGTAGATCACAGCGGGCAAGTTCACTCGTCCTACAGCCCGGAGGGCAGTGGTAAGGTGAGACTTGGCTTTTATTTGGAGAGATAGGGAAAGCTTTTGTAGGGTCTGAGCAGAGGAGGGTCATGGTCTGATTTACATTTTGGAAAGACCTCTCTGGCTATCATGTGGAGAAGAGGTGGGAGGGAGGAAGGGTGGGAGCAGGGAGACCATTGCACGGCTGTGGCAAGAATGCAGGAGAGGAAGACAGTCGATGGGTCAAGCAAAAGTCACTGCATTGAAGGGCGGGGAGTGGTCCAATTCTGGATATATAAAATTATTTTTAAATTTCAATTTTTAAAAAAGATATAAGTATTGCATTGTTTTTTAAATCATGTAGTATATACAATTTAATGTCCTGTCTTTCACTTGATAGTATTTTTTCCATGTTGGTACATCACGTGAATAAATGTTTTTAATGATATAAAATTCCATTGAGGGGTGTCCCATAGTTTATTCTTGTCCTATTATGAGAACTTAGTATGCTCTTAATTTTTCACTATTATTTGAAAAATATTTTTATTTGTAAGGTTTTTCCTTTTTTCTCTTTGGTAAGATTTTTCTATATGTAAAATATTCATTAAGGTAAATTCCCAGAGTGGTTTTGTTAGCTCATAGACTTAAATATAAAGACTTTCATTATGGAAAAAGTCAAATATAAATCATAAGTGATAAAATGAACTCCCAGTTTCAACAATTCTAAACATTTTACAGTCATTTCATTTACAGTCTTGGCCCCAAGTCCAGATTTTTAAAAAATCTTTGTTTTGAAGGAAGAGCCAGCAGGGTTCCCTGACACACTGAATGCAGGGTAGAAGGGAAAGGGAAGTTCAGAATGCACTGAGGCTTAAGACCCAAGCAACAGGGAGAAGGAGTCATCCCTGACTTGCAGAGTGACCTTGAGGCAGGTCACTCACCTCGCACCTTACCTTTGAGTTCCAGGTGCTAATAGTGGTCCTGGCAATGTTTCTCAAAGGTAGTCTCCAGAGGTTCCTTGGAACTCCGGTTAATAAGGCACATTCTGGGCACCCACCCAGACCTGAACAATCAGAATGTCCGGTGGGTTGTGCTCTGGAAATCTGCAACTTAAGAAGCACCTGCAAATGATTTTGATGCCCAGTGGCCCGAGACCTACTTCAGTTGTGCTCAAACCAACAGTATCAACATCACCAGGACAGCTTGTTAGAAATGCAGACTCCCAAGACCAAATTCCCATGTAAGTGGTGCTTTGCCATGGTGAAAATATGACTAGATGTTCTTAAGAGGTTAACATACTGGATTTCAAATTCATAAGGGTCTAGATTCAAATTCCTGTGGTCACCTTTCAATAACTCTGCGTTGTCAAGTTACTCAGACTTTCTGATCCTAATTTGTCTTTTATGAAAAATAAATGTATAATAGGATCTATAAAAAAAGAAAGAAAGAAATGCAGACTCCCAGCTGCCCCACTCCCCCAGACTTGCTGAATCAGAAGCTCTGGAAATCTTAAGCTCTCCAGGAGCTAAAGTTTGCACAACATGGGTCAGAAGACTATGTAGTATATACAATTTACTACAAGTACCGATAGAGGGCCTGCTGTGTTGGCCCCTCCCTGGCAGACCTCTACACTTTACACCACATGTGGTCAACGGGGTAGCTTTAGGAGCTGCCCAGTAGTTCTTAGTTCGTGTTATTACATTGATTTATCTTACATTTATCTTGCATTGTGATTTATTTTATCTACAAGATAGTCAAACCCCAGACTTAATTGATTTTACTGTTTTAGGGATGGGTCCACATTTTTATAAGCAAAACAATGGGAATTACATTTTTTAAAAATTATGTAACTTCCAATAGAGATGGGTTGTGGATTAAGCAGAAATAGAGTAGCTGGTGTTCACAGGAACCAAAGCTGGGAAACACTGTCCTGATACATCATAGATCCTCCAAAAATATGGAAGGGGTGGAGAGGAAGGGAGGAAAGAAGGAAGGACAGGATAGAGGGAGAAAGAAAGAGTTGAGATCTTATTTCCATGTTCTGTTCGCTTTAAAAAAGTTTAGTGATAATAATAATAAGCATTCCAAGGCCCAGAAATAAAGGTCCCTTTCTATTCTCCATTTTCTCTCTATCCTTAGTGGAGTTAACAGGAAAAAACCCCTAGCCTGAAGGCAAATCCTGTACTTTGGATTATGTTGTCAGAATTAATTCAGATTTTTATTTGAAACCTGGTTTATTTCAGGGTTGGGACCTTTCACTTGAAATAGCATTGTTTAAGGGCAAGCAGGTTTTGTTTGTTTTTACATCTAATCCTTTATTGATCATCAGCTCAGGATGCCAAGCCCAACCAGGTAAACAGTGGGAAGGGAAGGAACCAAAGGCATTTTCCTGAAACCACCTCTTTCCCCACTTTCAGTGACTCAGTGGAAGTGGGGAATGATGCCTACTTTGGGGGGCAAAGGGGGAGCCTGGGAGGAGACCCCAGCCGTGTCTGAAAATCCTTCCCTAAAAAAAAAATTAAAAAATGGTGACATGCATTCATTCTCTTCAGTATGGGAGGTATTTTCCCTCTCTTAACAGCGTCCAAGAGGTCCAGGGCACTAGGAGAAAAGAATGAGCTTTTCAGCATCTTCTCAGCCCTACTCACAATTCCTGAGAGAAAGTCTCAGTTCTGTGCCAGCATGTCATTCAGGAGAGCGGACCTCAGAGTCAGACATTAGCTAACTAGAATTTAGTAACACTGTTTTGCTTTCATTATATTTATTTTTGGATACTTTGCATTTGCACATTTCCATTTACAGATGTGATTTAGAGTTTCCTTTTAAGAAATTTATTTAGGTTGCAAAAAGTGAGTTGATTTAGAGAAAAATAACAAGTAAATGATGACGTGTGAATTATGAAGATTAAGTTTGGGAGACCCCACTCAGCCTTATTTTTATGCCAGGCCCTGAAGACCCTCAGAACAAGACCCATGGGGCTATCAAGGGGGAGGGCCAAGTACTGAAATTACTGTAAAAGAGAAACTGTTACCCATTTGTATTCTGCTCACTCTTCACCTCTGCATGCTGCTGTCAAGACTTTCCATCTGCTTATGTCAGACTCATTAATGTTTCAAGATCCTACTCTAGAAATTTTCGCCTTCTGAGCTCCTGCAGCACCTTGACGTTGTAACGATGGCCAACATGTATTGTTTCCCTTGTGCCTGGGCTGTGTTCTAAGCACTTTACATAAGCCCACTCATCAAAGTCACAGGATAACCCTATGAGGTTGGCCGCCTTATCAACTCCATGTTATAGATAAGGGCTCTGGGGCACAGAGAGGTGAAGCAACTAGCTCAAGGTCATACAGCTTGTGAGTGGCTCAAACCCTGAAAGTCTGGGACCAGTGTCAGTTCCCTTAACCCCAGTGTTGTACTGTCTCTCATGTCACTTATCTGAGGACATTTGCTTCTTGGTTTCCCCAGCTAGAT